TATTAAACCTTTAGCAACATTTTTACCAGGGTTGCACTGAGAAGTAGATCCTATAATGAAATCAGCAGATGTGCAGTTCCACCAGGTGTTTGCTAATTGCTGCTGACTAGTCTGAAGGAGTCACAGAGGAGAGCTGCTCTGTAACGAAGCTCAGAAACTGCAGCTCTGAGGAGGAGCTTTGCCCTCGAGGGTGGAGCTAAGTCCATCCAGGTGTTTTGCACAGCTGAATGGTTGCAATGGGAGACTAAAGAATTTCTCACACATGCATGAAAAATTAATCTGACTTCATAAGGGAAGGTTAATTGTTGAAAATCTTTCATCACCAAAATATTTCTGTTCATAAGTATCCTTTGTTTGTTCATGTTTTTTGGAAATATCTCAGAATGTTCAATGTCAGTGGAAGGAGAATTTTATTCCTAATATTTTGCTGTTTACATTTCTCAAAACTGCCCTGCAAACACTTTTATTTTCCACAAAGATTTATCTTCTAATGTGTTTCCAGCACAAGCAGAGCAGACCGGTAATAAAACAAAAAAGCTCCGTGTTTACATTGATAAGAGTTTAAGAGTAAGACTTTTTTTTTTTTTTGCTTGTTTAACCTGAAAGCTTCACACAAACGTCCTGTAGGGAGTGTGTTTCCTGCCATTGAGCGTCTGGCGCTACCTTCTCCCCCGTGTACCTCGGCTCAGGACTAGCAGAGCTGTTATCTGTCTCAGTGGAACAAGAGAACCTCACAGGTCAACGGGGCTCAGAGGAGGACGGCAGGACGCAGCGCTGCCAGAGGGAGGTGGGGCCACTTCACGATTCCATAACTCCCTTTAAAGCACTGAGGTGTTTAAAATTGTCAGTGACACTTCACCGTTTTGCTTTTCTTGTGAACTGCTTCTTTTAAACATTAGCTTTTTATATATATTCTTTCTTTCTGTTTATTTCTTCCCAAAGTCTTTGCAGCTCTTTGAATCATGAACCTGAAACGGTCGACTGATGTGATTAGGACGGCATTAGATTACCATCTGGATCTGAATCTAACTGGGTTGTTCTGGAATTCATTTGATCATTTTGAATTTGAACTGAAGTTTTGTTTTGTTAAATGACTTGAGATTGCATTTGCTGTAAACTGATGTTCCATGAACTAAACAGATTAAAATTAACTCAAGGAAAGAAGTTGCCCTTGAACACACCTTTTTTTAATTATGATGATTTTAATCTGGATTTTTAAATATCATTTGTTCCTTATTTCTTTCTTTTTACAAAGCTTTTTTGTTGTAATGGTTGCTGCTGTAGATCACTAATACATGTGATCTACAGCAAGAAGGTTGAATCTGGATGGCAGACAAACCAAAAATGTCTGACATGGGTGTAGGTGCATGAGGTCACATGCGAGTTATCCCTGCTGGCATGGAAAGGCGACTTTTCCTGCTCTACTGATGAAAGCCATTTGACTCCATGCGACGCACAGACAACTGTCATCAAACTGAAAAACTGTAAAAAGTTTTCTGAGAACAAAAGCAAAGCCTGCCGTGAGTTTACCAGGCTGAGCCTGATTTTAGAATAGAAAATAAAGAGCATCTAATCGAAAAATGGAAACCCTGACTCTTGTTTCATTCCACTTTAATAAAACTCAAGTGAAGGACACTGAAGATCAGAAGGTAGTCTAGTGATGAAATATTCAGTGAACCTTAAAATATCTGAACGAAGGCGGCGCTCAGTGAGAGAGGAACGGAGGCACAAACAGATCTGGACATGGAAAACCAACATCTATGGGTCAATGTCAATAAATTACACCATGGTTGTTTTGAGGATTCTGGCTTAGACTTGATGAAAACCCCAAATTCTGTTCCTCAGAAAATAAGAATATTACATTCAGATCAGCAACAAAAGAGTTTTCATCAAGAAATATGGGTCAACTAAAAAGTATGTCCATGTCCTGCACATTGTATGTAGTCAATACTTTGTCAATATTCCTTGACAAACTTTATAGATTTTACGTGGCGTTCAGGTCAGGCACAGAAATATCTGTGTTGGTACGTTTTTGGCATCAGCCGCAAAATCCGACTCCAGTCCACATCTTGTTATTCTCTCCCAAACTCTTGAGTTTACTTTGTTTCACTCTTGTGGCTTCAATTATCACTGTGGCTTAGTTCACCGTTTTCCTTCCACGAAATGTCCATAGATATGCTTGGATACTTGGAACAGCCAGCTACCATGGCAATGTCCTTTTGTGGCTCACCATGTTTGTGGAGACCAATAAAGAAGGATTTCTGGAACAGAGATCTGTTGAAAGGTTAGTTCAGGGACATGAGACCCGAAATACAACTAAACACCAACCCCTGAGGACCAGAGTGCTATGCTGTGAAGAAGATGAAAACTCCTGCAGCATCCTGAGCCAACCCAAAGGTAATCCGAAATGTTCAACCTTAAGGGAGAAGGCACATATTGAACTCTGCAATGATGTCAGTAACATTTTTTTAGTAATGAGTCAATTGTAAGAACTGGCAGTCCTTAGCATATTCGCAGATTTGCAGCAAACACTTTTTACAAGGTAAGATTAACATTCAAATACCTCAGAAGTAAATAACATGATATCAGATTTGGCATATGGAGAAGGTACGCATTCAATCATTAGTAACTATGGAGAGCCCACCATCTTGTAGCCCACCAGGTACACAAAATAAAACTAGTAAGCACCTTTTGTATGCTTTTAGGTCTCCACCGTTGTAAGGAGAAATGCTGTTTATGACAAACTGCTACTTATTCAATATAAGCCTGCTCTACTGATGCTGGAGGCGCTGGATGGATTAGAGCACATGGAGACTGAAGTCAAATTGTATGAAATGTTGATAATCCACACACATGTACAGGAAGTGTTGCAAGCAAACATTAGAAAAAAGAGAATAAACTTTTGGAACTAAAGTAATAAAACTTAATCAAACAATCCTTATCATTTAGGCTGTAGGTGTATGTGTTCAGGCCTTGCAGACCCTCTTGGTAACAGACACACAAAGTGATTATGGTGCAGCTATGAAATGTCTCTCCAGGAACAGGTCAGAGGATGAGAGGAAACAGAAGAGTACAAAGGTGTTTGCATAGTGCTGAGCTCGCTCAGTGGTATTCCACGTTATTGTGCTCTTTTCCTGCTCACTACCAACAGGATGAGGTGGACACCCAGAGCCAGTAGCCGGTCGGCAGCCTCTATGCTCCACACAGATCAGGGAATCAGAGAGGCCCCCTCAGCGATCAGCCACAGAAAGGCAGTTTTAACCAGAGCAGCGCTTTAATGAAAGACCTGAACCTTTTCATTTCCTATTGGACTGATAAAACAAAAAGAAAACTGGAATGAAGGATGAAGGAGCAGACTTTGATTTAAAGGAAACATACGTTATTGTCTGCTGACTCACATCACCCTCAATACGGAAACACTGACGGCGCCGGGCATTCTTGGACATTATTACCAATTTACCAGAAATGTTTCTCTCTTTATAATGTCCCCACCCACCCCCAATACAGTAATCCTGGCAAAAGTATGAATGTCAATTGCTCATTATAAAAACCTTGATCATTTCTTGTTTGAACAGCGTGAACAAAGAATGTCCTTTCTTACGCCCCGTCCACTCCCTTCCCTTCGCTTCCATCCCACCACATCCTCCAACGCCGTGGCTTTGGTGCCAACCCCTCTGTGGGGGAGCCACGTCCTTTCTCTATCACAATTTGTTGATAGTGATAAAGCAGCTTTGTGGGCGTATAACAAATTACAGCCTTATTGTGCTTCATCCTGTCCTTATGCGGACGGATTTCATCCATCTCTGAGTCGCTCTGAGAGAAAATCTATAAGGTTCAACTGTAGATTGTTCGACCGATCCATCGCCTAAAATGGAGCAATGGAAATGTAGTTTACCGACATGTTTATGGAAGGTTGTCATGGCAGGCTTCTACATCCTGTGGGGGGTGAAGGAAATCTATTCAAACTCCTGGTTCCAACAAACTTCCTCCTGGAAGCTTTATCGCTTTCCCCCCGCCCCAAGGAAAAAGACTAATATGCTGAATACTTTATGAGTGATTACTGATTTATACAGACTATAAATATGTCTCTTGTACCTACTTCAGTAGCTATTCTAGGAGCATTACCTAAGGATGTTTGTCCATCTGAGTCAGGGTCTCTCCTGGAACTAGGTTTTGTTGCATTTATTGTAACAGATGGTTCTATAATTATACAGGTATCAGAAATACCAGCCATCATATTCTTTCAAAGCCATAATTAGCTGCCTTAGTGTTTACTCAGAGGAAGGGTGAAGAGTTCAGTATATAAACGTCTGACGGTCAATTGTGGAGCAGCATTGAAGACGATGCGTTTCATCAATTTCCATGTCTCAATAGTTTTAAAAGTATCCTGGCAGACTCACAGTCACCGCAAAAATCGGCTGATGACGTGTTCTGATGCAGACCGAAGGTCTAACCAAAGTAACTCCACATAGTAACAGCAACATTGACTGGCAGAACAAATATAGCCCCATTGACAGCAGTGGTTTCTTGTGAAATAGCAGACTGCTAATGTCTGATAGAGTATTGGAGTCCACAGACATGAACACTTTCAGCATGAATTGCTTCGTTTTACTTTTGCTGTTCAACACAGTCAGTGTACATCTGACTAGCTGGTTAGCTTCCATCACACAGGAGAGGTATTTACATTTTCATCCAGCTCTCAGCGATATCACATCCGTATCCATAGGGACCTATCATTTATAATAACTTTGTAAAATGTCTTCACACAAAAAAAACTGTCTTAACCATTTAAGCTGCTGGTTGTCAAAGCAGGAAACAAATGTCCCCCTGATATGGTTGATATCGGATGTCAAATGACAAAAACCGCAAATGTTCAAAATAGGAAAATGACGAGCAAGTCCCTTTGGTCATAGACAACATACTGTTTCTACCCTAACAGTTAGAGACAGAAAATACAAAATTTAGAAGATTTTTTTTTTACTGAAAAATGGCTGCTGGGGTCATTTAGGCATCAAGGCAAGCTGCACCCAAATAAATCAATTTATCCTGTGTGTGTGGGGATTAGAGTGGAATGCAACTCAGACTTGTTTACAGCCAGTTTCCAACAGAGGTCATCCTTGGACAAAGAAAATCAGTTGCTGGTCATTTCAGTCTTTTGCCTTTTTGTACCCGATTTTTTTGAAGCTGTTTTGTACAGAGGAGGAATATTTGTCACTCACTTTGACAACCGATAAGCATAGTACCTATTATGTTTTACTCATAGTCTCAATGTAAAGAAATCTGGTTTTATGACTCCAACAAATGACATCTAGATTTGCAACAATGGCATCCATAGACGGGTTCAAATATCAAAATCCTCATCTCTCACATTTTCCCTACCAATACCCAACACCTCCAGAAATCTTTATGACGTCCAGACACTGTTGGGAAAATGTTCTGTGGACTGGAAAAACAAAATTAAAACATTTCAGATGGCTCATGTCCTGTTTCGTTGAGCGTAAAACTTCCAAAACATTTCGAACATGATACCGACAAGCCAACATGGTGGCGGGACTGAGATGAGATGAAGCTGCTTTGCTGGGGCAGGAACCTGGACAACATGACACAAATAGACACGCCTCTGAACAAAAATACATTCTGGTATTCATCAAACTACAAAATATGAAGTTTGCTGTTAGGGTAAAATATTTTTTAAATTGAGATACATTTGATCTGTCGTATCAAATATTCAATAAAAGGTTAAATTATAAACATGTAAACTGAAAACATGTTTCATTTAGTGAGTAGACATACAAAGCTATTTAGTTATTTTTCATACTCTACATGAATAATCGGGAACTTTCAGAAACATGGGGCTTTGAGTTTTCATTCACGTCATCTCCTTCTAATCAGATCCAAACTCAGTCTTCTTCAGCCTCAAGATGCTCAGAGACACTGACCTGATTCAGCCTCTGAGGTCTGGATCGTGTTTTCCTTTTAATATGAATTAGAGTGGGATATTTCCCAAATTCCGAAGAACTAATACTCTGGTATTTCTGGTTGATTCCCCTCCCATGAGACTTCAGCTTTTGATCTCAGTGCCGGTCGCAACTGGAGGGCGGTTCTGGTAAAAGCAGACAAGGGGTTATGGAGAATCTAATTATTTGTCATGTCATTAAATATTCGTGTGCGTACATCTGGTGGTGAGAAAATGTGTAGCCTTATGAGTTTGTGATGCGTGTGTTTGTGTGTGGTGGTTGTGATGGGCAACTTTTCTTTCGAGATACGGACAGGGTGGGGGTTGAGCAATCTGACCACACTCCACTCTCTCTCTCTGGAACGGGACTTCCTTCCTGACTTGGACCAGCGCAAGAACAAACACCGCAAGGAATGTATAAATGGGACTCTTGTTTCAGCTTCGGATCATCGATTGCAGCCGTTCGATACAACCGGGGGTCCTAATTAAAAGTCGCCCTCACTCCGCAGGCATGAATCTCGCGACTCCGGCTCTGATTTTCTGTGCGCTGTTCCTGCAGGAAGCTGCCGCCTCTCAGCGCGCCAGCTGCTCCGGGGCTCTCTGCTGCTTCCAGCACTCCGCGGACTTTGAAACTGCGGAGAAAGCCTGCGAAGAGTCGAACGGACAGTTGATCCCATTCGGCTCTGACGAGCAGATGAACGTGTTGAGTCGTCTGGTGAGAACGTTCACGGGGAGGTTCTGGTTGCGCGGTGGTACAAACTGCACCGCCATCTCCATGGAGAGCGGGTCCGGAGTCTCGTTTGGGCCCGAGCCGTGCCGAAACACCCTGGACGGCTTCTTGTGTCTGTATGAATCCTCTTTGGTTTGCGGAGCCGTTCTGAGCAGCGGAGGCACGTCGGTTACGTACAGAACACTCACGGGCTTTGACGTGTTGGAGTCTGAGACGTTTCCACCGGGGACTGTGGCCCTGGTGGGACGGTCCGGGGCTCAGTACCCGGACTCCAAGCACCTGTGCATGTCCTCATGGTTACAGTCTCCGTGGTCCTGCGAGGTCTTCCAGGGTGGCTGCGATCACGGCTGCAACAAAACCTCCAACACCTGTACGTGTCCAGTCGCGCGTTCTCTCCATCACAACAACTTCTCCTGCACGGAGCCCACGGCTACCAGACCACAGGTTCAAGCCAAGCGCTGCCCCGAGGGCTACAAGCTGGCGGCGGACGGCAGACGCTGTGAGGACGTGGATGAGTGCGCTGAGACGTTGGATCTCTGCACAGGTGAGGGCGAGCAGTGCGTCAACCTGGACGGGAGGTACGAGTGCAGGTGCGCGGACGACTTTGTGGAGGAGGACGGCGCCTGCGTCAACGCGTCGATCTGCATATTATGCGAGCACATGAAGTGCGAGAAGGTCAGCGGGGTGTACCAATGCGCGTGCAAGGAGGGGTACCGGGTGTCCCTCAAAAACCCCACCGAGTGCGAGCAGGACTGCAGCCAGAGAGAGTGTCCTGCGATCTGCAACAACAATCTGGCGCTGGAGAAGAAGGACATGCAACAGTGCTACTGCCCCCAGGGCTTCATCCTGGACCTCTGGGAGGGCTCCGCCACCTGCTATGACATCGACGAGTGCGAATCCCAGGCGCTCTGTGATCACGAGTGTGAGAACCTGCCCGGTGGGTTCAGGTGTGTGTGCAGGAAAGGCTACCGGCTGCAGGGGACTGAAAAGTGTGTCCGTCTGCAGAACGGAGGAGAGGAGGAGAACGCATCGGGGTCGCCTCCTGATCTTGCCAGCACGCCGGTCAGCCTCCAACCGGCTCCCCTGCCGTCTTACATCAAGACAGGCAGCGTCCTGGGCATCACCGTGTTCCTGGTGCTGGGCGCGGCGCTGCTGGCGTGCGTGGTGAAACAGGTGTTTAGACGCTGCGCATCTCTGAACCTGAACTCCATAAAACACCCGGACATCGATATTTTCTACCTGCAGCAGGTCACAACGGAGACCTACAAGAGATTATCGTTCGATAAGCAGTTTAAAAACGACTCGTAAAGAGTCCGAGAGGCGGGCTCACCTGGAGGAGGATGCACCGATCAGATGTCCATACCGATGTGACGTCCAACGGTCGATATCGATAGTTTCGATTTTTCTCTCAGAATATAAAACCCAACTGTGCCTTCAGGTACAATGATAAAGGTAGCTGTATTCAACAAAATAGGAAGGAACTACAAAACTCAAAGGCATAAAGACGGATTTTTATTTTAAAAATGTCAAAGACTACATCATGTGTTTATGGACCAAAATTATTTTTTCCCTTTTTTAAAAAAAAAATCTGTTAAGCATTTAATGTTAAAAATTACAGCCTATTATTAATTAGAGAAAATCGGTGTGTTTTGATCGGGCTGATCAGTGCATCCAAGTTTGTCCTTGGAGACAGAAAATATCCTGGCCACGTTATATTTGAAAAATTAAAGTCATACTATTAGGAAGTGAGAAGTGAAAACAGCTTTAAGATTTCTGTACTTGTCTTTAAAAAAACAGAATTAACACAAATTCTGTTCCATTAAAAAATATTCAGTTAGATCAGTTTCCAGCTCTAGTCAGGTACTATACAGTTGGCGCAAGCTGCAGTTTCCAACATTTCCTAACTATGCAACATTCTATGCACGTATTTGCTGCATTTCTGAAATTTATTCTGTTTTAATTGTCTGACGAAGTTACATTTAATGTAAAGCTAAAAACAGATCGACACTGGATGTGACTGAAAAAGAAAAAGAAATGAGCTGCTTGATTTGTGGACCTTTGACAAACACTGCAGATTTCATCATTGGGAGAGAACCGCAGCGTGTAAATAGAGCGGACTGATGACTCGTGAGTCATAAATATAAAGTGGTATTTATGTTAACATTTAAATGAAAGCTGGATGTCAGGTTTTTAATAACCTGAATTGTGTAAAAAAAAAGAAAAAAAGAAAAAAAAAAGACTGTGACAAACGAACTGAAATGAGTGTCACTGACGAGTAAACCACTTAGCGTTAGCATGGTCTGTACACTGCTACTATTAACCTTACTGTACCAGGCTGATTCTCACCGGTCAGCTTCATGTGAATGTAAAACTGTGCTGCTATTACATGTAGCAGCTGCTACATGCTATTACATGTAGCAGCATGTTACAGCTGCAAACATCTGTATAAAATCAAACGAATATTTGGACGACAGCAAACAATTCCCCAGTAATTCTTATGATTTTATTTATTTATTTTTTTACATTAATTACTCATTTCTACTTCCATAGAAAAAGTCTCATTACGTTCAGCACCATGGAGCCAGACTGTTTCCTGTTTGAAGGTCTTCATTAAGCTTATTTTCCTACTTGTTCTTACATGATTTATTGAACTTAACATTTTCAGTATGAGTATTTTTACCACTAAATTGTTTGTCAATAAATAAATAAAAAGGGAATAAAGATGCAAAGTTCACAGAAGTGTATATGTGTCTCTTCAAAATGATAAAAGATGGGAAAAAACTGCAGCAGATGAAAGTGTTTTTACAAAACAGGGAAATGAAACCAACAAAGATCTGACACAGATGATCGTTGTTGGTCATTTTCTCTTCTTTTTTATTCATAGTTTAATGAAAAAAACTAAAGAAAATGTTTTATTTTTGTATTCAAAAAAACTATTTTTTGTTTTAAGACAGAATGATTCAAGTCCGCATTACAGGACTGTAAAAAAGATAGTTCTCAATTTGATTAGGGGAAAAATTGACTCAAATTAGGTTAAATCGCTAATTTAACTAGTTGACAAATTATTCGACCAGCATACTTTCAACAATTCAGTTTTATTTTAAAATAAACATATAAAAGAAATAAAGTGACTCTAAGTTTTTAACACTACATATTCAACAGATCGTATTTATTTCTCATCATGAAATACTGCGATTCAAACACAAATTAACGGATTACTTGGAGTATGGCAAGCAGTTTTGGAAATTTTCAATAACCTCCGTATCGCCCCTCCGTTCTGGTCACAACTAAACTCCACTACTTTCACTTTTGCTCAAACCAATTCAATAAAAAGAAACTTTTCTCAGCAACTCGTTTCACAAACTGCTGGCACTTTAGCCTAGCTGCTAAAAGTCCAAATAGCAAAAGTTCTGCAGTAAGTGTCTCAACAAGTTTGTTTTTTTTGTTAACAATACCAAACAACTGACGTACTTGTTAAGTAGTAACCCTTAAATGTGTGCACTAGTTCACTGTGAGCTGCAAATTCAACTAGTTGACAAATTAAAGCATTTAGGATTTTACCAGTTAGACAAACTAATTAGCCTCTCAGATCAAATAGTGTTTTGAATGGTCCTAGTTAACTAGAGTTAACAGGTGCAGATATTTAATGGTCACTTGGAAATTTTTGGTAAGGTTTAAGGTGAGTTCTTACTCACCTTACTGTGAGTAAGAAGGCCATAATGCTGACAGTTCTCCAGAATATCAAATATTTACACAAACTGCTTGCCATACTGGATAGTCACAATGGCCGTGGCTGAGTTGGGAGGGGCTACGAGGACATATAAGGGTCTTTCGGGGGAAAAAACAGTTATGCGTAAGCCCGTACAAGCCGTGCGTAACTGTGGATGTGAAGTGGAAGGGCAGCGAGCTGTCCGACAGTTCGTTACTCAGAGCCCCTTCCTTCCTCCGCCGGGCCCTAATATGGAGCTTGGGGCTTATAAATACCACCTAAATAGTTATTCAAACAATCAAGTCAAAGGATTACCGGATCGCGCAAGAACTTAAACGGGGCACAGCTGAGATCCAAACATGAACGTCGCAGCGGGGTTGTTTGTGCCGATGCTTGTTTTCCTCCTGGGAAAAGCTGCGGGAGCAGAGCGGACCAGCGGCTACTGCATCGTGAATGCTTGCTTCACCCTGTTCCGGGACCCCAGCACTTTCAGCTCTGCGCAGCAGCTCTGCAGAGACCAGAACAGTCACCTGATGACGGTGCGGACCTCTGTGTCCAGCGACGTGCTCACCGTCCTGCTGGGAAACCTGACCGGGAGCTTCTGGATCGGCTTGCACCGCCTGAGCGGCTGTCCGGACCCGTCAGAGGCGCTCCGAGGCTTCCAGTGGGTAACCAAGGACACCGAGAGCGACTTCGTCAACTGGGAGCCGGACTCCGACGACAGCTGCGCCGCCGCCCGCTGCGTGTCCGTGAACGGAGATGAGAACTTTAAATGGAGGCAGACCCCGTGCGACCAGCTCGTAGCGGGCTTCCTCTGCGAGAACAGCTTCGTCGACCCCTGCACTAACCTGCCGCACGCAGCGGAGCAGTCTGTGCGCTACTGGACTCCCTACGGGTTCGAGGTGGAGGATGTTCAGTCCTCCACTCTGCCGAGTGGAAGCATCGCCACCCTTTTCCCGTCCAAGACCAAATACATCTGCGGCACCTCCAAGAAGTGGCTGCGGGCTCCTTGGAACTGCGAGATAAACGAAGGCGGGTGTGAACACAAATGCGCCGTGGACCCCAGTAACACCCCCATCTGCTACTGCCCGCAGGGCAAGACCGTGAGCACGGCCAACAGAATCTCGTGCCAGGCGGAGGGCACGGACGACCCCTGTGCGGCGTTGCACTGCCAGCAGACCTGCTACGAGGCCGGAGGCCGGCATCAGTGCGGCTGCGACCACGGTCTGCAGCTGGCCGCGGACGGCAGGACCTGCGTGGACTTCGACGAGTGCGCGGACGAGCGCCAGTGTCCCGAGGAGAACTTCAAGTGCGTGAATACGCCACGCGGCTACACGTGCGTCTGCGAGAGCGGTTACAGGTTGGTAGGCGGCGCGTGCGTTGACACGGACGAGTGCACGCTCGCGCCGTGCGAGCACGAGTGCACCAACTCTCCTGGAAGTTACGTGTGCTCGTGCTTTAAGGGGTACAGGGTGGACGAGAAGGATCCGCATAAATGCAGGCTGCACTGCGGGAAGCAGGTGTGCCCCGCGGAGTGCGACCCCAACCACAACTTCCAGTGCTTCTGCCCGGACGGCTACTTGTTAGAGGAAAGGGGGAGCTCCAGCTTCTGCATAGACATAAACGAGTGCGACTCTAATTACTGCGACCAGGAGTGCCGAAACACGTACGGCGGGTACGTGTGCTCCTGCAAGCCCGGTTTCAAGTTAGTGGGTGAAGACCAGTGCAGAGAAGTCGACGACGAGGAAAGCTCCACTCTTAGCATCCCCACATCGCCCACACACCCCGACCCGACCCGGCGACCCTCCGCGGTGACGGCCGGGGGTCTGGTGGGGATCATAGTGAGCACGGTGTTCATCATCGTGTTGGCCGTTTTCGCGGCTCACGTGCTGCTCCAGCGCAGAGGGAAGAAGGAGGAGAGCGCCGCAGGTGCGCTGAAAGAAGCCGAGGAGGACATGCACGGCCTGCAGAGGCTGAGCGACAGCCGCAGGGACAAGGTGGTGTAGGAGAGAGACGCTTTTAAACGAAAGGCGTAAATGAATGTACGAGCCGAGCCTTCAGAAGCACAGACTCAAAAAAAATAAAAATAAAAATAAAAATCTCACTTTTGAGGAAGAAGTCTGGCAGGATGCAGCTCAGCCAGATGAGTAAATGAAGCAGCAAACGGTTTACAAAAAAAAAATAATAATCAGTTCGTGTTTATATTTACTGCCCAACTCACATACAGCCTCCGACATGTAATGAAGTGACAAAAATAACTGTTTACAGTTTTTACTTTGGTAATAAAATGTAATATGAACAAGTAAATGATCGTAATGACTTTTTGATTGATTTTTTAAATGACTCTTTCAGTTAACTTGTCTCCAGTGGTAGATTGGGTGCGCCATCTGGTGGAAATAAATTAATTTGCAACGGAACTGTTCCTCGGCCCATATTTGCTCAGATACAGTGGAAATGGTGCCTCTCATTCAAAATTAAATCAATAAATACTCTATGAAATGAAAACAAGTATTTTAATATACAAATATATTTTAGTGAGTAGCTTATTTTGTCGATCACAGATGTTTATTTATTGTTCATTATCATTGTAATTATTGAAAGTAACCACATAATTGCACAGTTCTAAATGAATAGACCATCACATGGATCATATTGTGTTAGAATGGAGGTAACCTTCATTGTCTCAGTTTGAAGGGAATTCAGGTGTCACCATAGCAACTTAAGGTAAGTGGGAATATCTTATAATTATATATATATATATATATATATATATATATATATATATATATATATATATATATATAAATAACAGTAAAGCTTTTACAACATGAGTAAAGGTGACGGGGAAGAGAAAATACAAAGATTGTTTTCAGTGAGAAGAGCTCATCAGTCCTGATTCCAGATAAAGGTTCCAACTTTTACAACAACTCAAACTTTGAACATCTCCAGAAGATGAAGCATGTCTCGTTTTCTGCATCTCTTTTTATTTGAGGTAAAAACAGATGCAGAGTAACAGGAATCACGGCGTATGGCAAGCTATTTTGTGTAATTATGCAATGTTTCAGCAATCAGCGGCAACCATAAACATGACTGAACGAAATTGACAATTTACAAAACACGTCACAGCAACAATGTTTTCATCAACACCTGCATTTAATAACCAAAACAAAGGAAAAATAAAGAACTTATCTGCTACTGTTTTCAGTAGGTTAAACTTATAATAGCCTTATTATTACACAATATTATTATTATTATTATTATTATTATTATTATTATTAACAATATGCACTAGAACAAGACGAACAGAAATAAGCTAAAAAAAATCTTTAAAAAAAACAATAATCATATTGTTAAACAATGAACTTGCCTTGAAACCTAATTTTGTATTTAAATCTTGATTCAGATAACAATTAGCAGACGGTTTGAAGAACTGTTAGCATAACTGAACCGGTTTGAAGAACCGTCTGCTTGTATTATGTTGCGTATTTGTTTATAAACCCATTCAATAAACTAAAATATGACCAAAAAGTTAATTTATTTCAGTATCTCCATCAGAGTCAAAAACTTTCTATAAGTTAATTTCGCACAGACTGAAGCGTCTGAAGCTTTAGTTCTGGTTTTCTGCATACAGCTAATAAAGAAAAAACAAACAACATTTAAGATTAGAATATTACATCAAACCTGTATTTTTCTTCACCCCAACAACAAAAAAAAAAAATTAAATAATGTATTATTATATAGGATAGTCTTCAGTCACTGAATTTTGCACAGACATCTAATACTAGAGAAACTGTAACTTTGCGCAAACAATCCGTGATGGGGGAAGTTATTATTAGTTTTCCTGCTGCTGCCCCCTGATATGTTAACCCGTTGTGTGCTATCTGTCATAACGGAACGGCGGCCTGCCTGCCTGCGGATTCATCCTGGTTCTGCTGCCGGGTGTGTCGGAGTGCCTGCCTGTGGAGGAGGCTTCGGGGGCAGAAAGGAAGTGGATACTATCAGCCAACATGGAGCCACAGAGAAAAGGGAAAGCTCCAGGACGGGAACACGGCCACCTGTAAGAAAGAGGAAGGTGAAGCCTCTTTGGCCATAAAGGAAATTGCGAGTTATGTGCGTTTTGAAAGAACAGCGGAAAATCAGTCTTTCTAAACACACACATACACACACTGAGAGAATCTATGGAGCAACTAGTATGCTTGGAAGAAGCGTTTAAGCGAATTTTCCACCAGTGAGGGATTCCTTTCACCGTCTCGTTCAGCAGCAGAGGAAAGACATTCCCAATGTGTCCCACTCCAAGTCTGAGCGGAGGCTTTTGCACGTGACGATGTCACTTCACGACCTCGTTAAAGCCTTTAAAGTAAGTGGATTCTGTTGATCACTCACTGATTCAGACAGGCCCGAATTACGCAATAAACGTAAATCTGCTGTGAAGCTAAACCTGAGCTGAACCTGCGGCCCACTATGTAGGTAGAGAGGGTGGGGTGGTGGGTGAAGCTGCTCATCAGAAATAAAAGCAAAAATGTCGATATTTTTAGATGTAGTTAAAAAATAAAGAGATGAGCATAAATTAATTTAGTTTTAAGCGGGGGAAAAAGCAGTCAGTTGCCATATTCTGATGTGCTAAACCCGTGACGTCACGCAGGGTCCATTGATTTAAATGTAAAGCTTATATTGTGTTAAAGAGCATTACAAATTTGTCCTGTTTATATGTTCTTGTTTATCTGTTCAGGAGTGAAAAAGGGGAGAAACGCCTTACAGGCATAAAGAAGAAACAGCGCCTCCTACCGTCACAGGTACAGGTGGCAGTTTAAGAACAGGAATTACGCAGTGCATTTTTGTTTTTTCTTACGTTGTTTTTCTTATTTAAACATTTAAAACAACAACAAAAAAATCAAACAAAATTGAAATTTCCCTCCTCCGTCACTGACAACAAGACAGAATGCAACAACTGTTTGCATATTCGGTGCAAATCTGATCTGGATTTTCTCATCAGAGGATTTAAAAAAAAAGTTATTTAATTTCCCTCTAAAAATGTAACATCCAAATTTGAGCCGTTTAATTTTGTAGCAAAAAAGGGAGACTTCATTCTTGTTTCCTATTTAATTGTTATCTTCGCGCTGTACTGTCAGCGTTTTCACGCAAACTAATTAAGGTAAAGGGGAAAGTCAGGGTGTATCGGGAAACTGCGCCCCCTGGCGTCACACTACAGGACGGTCGAGTGATTGCTGCCGCTGGAATGATAAACATATGCTCTTTTTTATGTAGAAAGCAGCTTATGTAGAAATTTGTATTTGGTTTGATTTTCTGTTTATATTTTAAATAACTGTTTGTTTGTTTTTAAAAAAAAATCATAAACAAAGAAATTCTGTTTTGTCTACTGAACTCCATATTGTCACATAAAATGAAATATTATATTAAGAGTAAACAACCGAAGTGGAAAAGCAGTCTAGGACATTTGGACTCAGAGTTGCTAATCTGAAACATCAACCATTTTTCCGACAAAGCTCTAATAATCTGTACAGCAGGACACATTTCCACTTTCATATCCGCTCAGGGCAAACAAATCAAGGATTGCACAACTCTGTGGGCAGTGTAGTAATAACACGAGCTGTTTGGGTGAACCAAAGTAAACACTGGGACTGTTTGTCCTCCATAGGTCCAAGACAGTATGTGGCTGCTGGTTCTTCAGCTGATCTGCGCTGGCTTCTATCTACAGGTTGGTGTCTAACATTGACCTTAGACCTTAGCTCACACATTTTCTAGAGATTTAACATACTGAGTGTACAGTTATATTAATACTTTTAACTTTACTCATAAACGTCCCCACTGAGGGGCAAAAACAGTTACTTTCTATTCTATTTGAAGCAATGTCAATGGTGAAAGGTTGGGGTAATACACAGATAAATGCCAATTATCAGCTGTGGTAGGATTATTAATATGTGATGGACATTGATATTGGTCCAATATTCTCCAATAGGTGAATCCATATTTATATCTATATATATATACATTTATTTCAATTGCAACAAAGTATCATTTGATTGAGCAAAGGGCAGCTGTGTTAATGTACATATAATACACACACACACACACACACACACACACACACAAACATGAAAGCATAATGAAAAATTTATATTTTTTTACAGTAATGTTATTGGTAATATGTTCACATATTGTGTTCATTTTCTTTTTTTTTTGAAATATGTCGTGTTCCTTTTATCATAATCACAGAAGAAACAAAGAGATCCTGTTTGACAAGGTGCCAGGAAGCTGGTTATCAGAATCACTGTAATTATAAACATCAGTTCTGGTCATTTTACCATATAAATACAGAAATGTACACATTTACACAATAAAAATTGGTATTTATATGGTAAAACTGCCAGAACTTTACTATAAATTTCAGTGATTTTACTAAAAAATTGCCAGAATTTATAGTAAAATTTGTAAAGTTTTGTAAAGTAAAGTGTTTTGCATTGCGGCAAAGTCAAAAATTTCACACATAATATACCTTGTTGTGTAATTATACAGAGATTTATTTTTGTTTTAGCTCTTTTAAGGTCTTCTTCTATTTTGTTAAAAATATAAAAGGCGAACAACCCTAATCCATCTTCAAATTTATGAGCAGTCTGAAAAACTTGAATGTACTTAGTCCTGAACTCTTAATGAATCCATCTTTTCTCCCTGCAGCCAGCAACATGTCACCCATCATGCCAGTTGTGGGGACAAAAAGCATACTGCACCGCCCGGAACCTCATCTGGGTCCCTGTTCTGCCTCCCAACCTCACCCACTTATATTTGGATATAAACTTAATCCATGAGATCAACAGGACTTCTCTCAGAGACTTAAAGGAACTTCAGGAATTAGACCTGGGAAGCCAGAAAGTAGTCCTCACCATCAGGAACGACTCTTTCCTCAGGCAGAGAAAGTTGACCACACTGGTTCTCGGCGACAATGTCGGCCTTAAGCTGGAGCCACGGGCGTTCGCCGGGCTGGTCAGGTTAAGAGATCTCTGGCTGGATTACTGCTCTTTGACCGACTACATACTGGCAGAAAACTACCTGAAGCCACTTCTGTCACTGGAAAGGCTCAACCTCTACGGGAACAACATAGTGAGACTCAATCCGGGTCAGTTCTTTTGGAATCTCACAAAGTTCTCAAAGTTAATTCTTGATCTGAATCAGCTTGAGAAAATATGTGAGAAAGACTTAGTTGGCTTCCAGGGGAAATATTTTCACCTCCTGAGCTTGAGGTCGAACAGCTTCTTCAGATCTGACGTTGACTGGAAGGACTGTGGAAACCCTTTCAAAGAGAT